TTTAATTGCTAATGCTCTTTTTACACACACACTGAACAACATGAAGCATTGCTTGGTCACTGGTTGAGCTAAACTGGTATTATCTAATTGTGTAGTTAAATTTAACAGCTGACAGATATTCAACATAATTCATGTGTGAGAGTCTAACAGAAGGATGGACAAAACCAGTCAAATATCCACTGATCTGAGAACTCTGAGTTTTATCACCATTTTCTAAACTAGGCTATAGTAAATACACTGAGATAATGTGAGAAATGTTGAAGGTGTCTGGATAAGTTTGGGTTTGGCTGTATATCTAGTGTGTGAGCTCCTCATGTTAGTACCCGTGTGTCCAGCTCCTCTGGATCCTCCGGTGTGGTGCACGCCGTGTGGACGCTCCCGTTGCACTCCTTGGTGTTGATCAGTAGTGGAGAGTTCCCGTTCGATGACGTCACCGAAAGCTTCTGGAAAAAAAAACATAGTTGAGGGTGTGGGAATGAGAGAGACACACAGAGATGGAAATGACAGAGGAAATGACACTCACGACTCCATTGATGCCATTCTTGCCCAGGGGTCCCTTGGGCACCAGCACCAGGTATGTTTCAATGCCCCTTTCCTTCAGGTATTCACAGCGGTCTCCGCCATTCCCTGGCTCCACATCAAACTCCCCGTGCAGACACTCCAGGGTATTCTGGGAGATGTGCACTCGCCTACAAGACACACATTTGAGTTCAAGCATAACTGGTTTTCTGAGTCCGCTACTGCCCGTTCTTTTACTGATTACACAACACTTACTGTAAGCAATCTATAAATTATCTGTTGAATAACTCAAGAAGAGTCACTAACCACCCGCAAACCACTTTCACCTAGCTGTATCTGTGCTGGTTTAGTGCTGAGCTGGAAGCATTTTCATTAAGCATATGCCCTTGTGAAGAATAAGTACACTTTAGCATACATATTAGTAACTATATGGAAAAATACACAGACATAAAAAGAGACTTTAAAAGAATATACAGGTGAAACTGGAAAAATTTTAATATCGTGCAAAAGTTCATTTATTTCAGTAATTCAACTTAAAGATGAAACTAATATATTATATAGACTCATTACGTGCAAAGTGAGATATTTCAAGCCTTTATTTGTTATAATTTTGATGATTATGGATTAATTTACCCTAAATTCAAAATTAGAAAAGGTTTTCAAAAGCTGTAAGCCATAATCATCACAATTATAACAAATAAAGGCTTGAAATATCTCACTTTGCATGTAATGAGTCTATATAATATATTATTTTCATCTTTAAGTTGAATTACTGAAATAAATGAACTTTTGCACGATATTCAAATGTTTCGAGTTTCACCTGTACTTGTAATGTAATGTTTTTAAATGTAATTAGCTGAACTTATGAGTGCTTTTTTGGCTCACTGAGGTCGGACTAGTACATCTTTATATGTGATTTCATAATTATTGTCTACGAAATATGGTTAAAGAGAACTGCTGAATGTACTGGCAAGCATTTATGGGAAACTAAAATGTACTTTAATGTCATTTCTATTGAAACCTGTATGTCATGTATTTAAATATATTTGTAATTACACATTTGTAAAGATGAACTTTTAATTTAGTGCACTTAAAATTGATCTAATATCAAATAACACTAGTATTTTAGTATAGTAGAAGTATTTATAGTATAGTATGTGCTTTAGTATGTTAGTCAACATCAAAATAAGTGTACTTCTTTGAAGCATGACAAAAGATTATTAAAACATAATGATTAAAAATATACTCTAAAGTTAACATTATTACTACCGGTAGGTGTGTTAAGAAACAGTCATATAAGTGTACTCCCTTTAAATACACTTAAGAGGCCTTTTATTTCATTAATTATTGCAGATTTAAAAAAAAAAAATACTTAAAGATTTGCAGTACACTACAAGTGCACATTAAATACAATTAAGCGTACTTCTCTTTCACAAGGGTGGGTCTCATTGTTAATGAGTATTACTGATGATGATGATGATGACGGATAAGGGTCTAATAATCTGGCATATATCCAGATGTGTGTATCCATGAGTGTTCGCTCATGTTTGGTTTGCAGTATGTGGGCGTAATTAGGGAGGACTAAAGTTTAGCTTGAACAACCAGATGCATTTACACTTGTCTGAGTCATTTTTGCAATGACGGATCTGCCGTCTGTCTTCTCTGTGTCTCAGAGGGCATTTACACTGGATACACACATGAATGAAGAGCTGCATGATATATAATCAATCAAACACAGGCTGTGATTTAATTAAGTAAATATATGTGCTACCGTTTTTTCAGAGTGAAGGGCGTCATTTACACGTGTGTAGTTCATGATACAGTGTCTCAGAACCGCTGCAATTTAATATAACTCTGAAATAATAATAATTATTAAGATTTGATTGTGATAATTATTAAATGCATTAAAAAAATATATATATATATTGTAATAATAACCTTGTGCTGTATAATATTCATCAAATAAATTTTGTTTTACTGTAAAATTACAATATTTTTATGTCTAAATTTCTTACATTTCAAACGGTATACCATCAAGCTTTTATTTTGATGGGTTACCAGCTAATAAATAAATGCGCTGTTGGTTTCAGAGTGAAAGCACTATGTTCATTTACATACGTATTTGAAAATTAGGAAATATTGTAATTTTACAGTAAAATAAAACTAATTTGATGAATTTTTTTACGGCACAAGGTTATTATTACAATATATCAATCAAATTATAAAAACTATTATTTTAGAGTTATATTGAATTGGTCAGAAACGGTGTGAATGTGGCCTATGAAAACTGAAGTGGAAAGAGATTTTTTATTAACTGTTGAATTTATGGTTTGTGTTGGTTCTTGTAAAGAGTAAAACACATTTTTATATATATATATATTCACTCCCAAACAAGAGCTGACAATCGATTTAAAAACTAATTAATACATTTTTGATATATTTTTATATTGTAATACATTCACATTGAATCTCCAAAATGATGTAGAAACAACATAAAGAGGGTATGTTTTAAATATTTATTTAACTAAGCACTATGAATGAAGTATCAGTCTTACCAATACTGATGTTGATGTCTCTATTAAATGGATTTTTCCCCTCAATTTTAGCAACTAATTATAGACAATCAACATTACAGTAAAATTGAAAGCTACCGATTTGAAAATTAAATAGGCTTTAGAATTTAAAACAATCTTCACATAAACCTATTGCAATAAATGTCTCATTTAGCTGTGCCTTTTGATGGTTTAATCACTTTTGGCCACTACTGTACATTGCAGAAAAACAAATGATTATTTTTCCGATATCGTGCAGCCCTACAGTAAAAACGTATGAAATGGCCAAATCTAGTGAATTGACCCTAGCATTCTCAACCAAAAGCAAACAAAAAAGCTTTAGCACTTGTGAAGGTGCAGCTCTTTACCCTGGTATTCCTCCTGCCTCCATCTTGTTGGCCACCGTCACATCAGTAGACCACACATCATACTGCCAGCGCTTCTGTCCGAGCACCCCGCCCAAGACTGTCCCAGAATGCACCCCGACACGCATGTCCACATCGGTCTGCGTCTTCTCTCGGACATATCTGAAATCCAGATGAACGTGTCAAACCTTGTCATATTCAAGCACGCCCGACTTAATCTATTTATAAATAATTGTTATGAACCAGTCACTAATTTCCATGAACAATCCTGATGACACTTCATGAACAGTTCACGAATTAAATGATTATGCATCACTTACGAAATGGCCTCAACCATAGCCAAGCCCATCATGATGGAGCAGGCCGCATGGTCATCGCGGTAATCTGGAAGGCCACAAATACAGTAATAGCAGTCGCCGAGAATCTTGATCCTCAACTGGTGGTATTTCTGACGAGGAAAGAAAGTCGACCTTTAGATTTATTCAGGCTTTACTGGTCAAAAAAATGATCAACCAATAGGCGATGAAGCGTCAATAGAGTGCAACAGTGTACGTCCACTTTTTCAGCTGCCTAGGTTAAGGGAGTTTTGATCAATTTCTTCATAGAGACTATCGTCCTATTGTTCCTGCTGTTTGTCTTTCTGTGATTAGTTCATTTTTTCTTTGGGTGCGTCTCAATCAGCTCCCTAGTTTCCTAGGTGGTGAATCCATATCGTGTACATGAATTCAGGCACTGGTTAGGACAGTAAGGATTACTGCTACATTATGATAAATTCTTTGCTTGTTACATATACGTGCAACATTTCAGCCCTGTTTAAAATATAAATGTTAGCTAGATTGTGTTAACTCCCTGTCTAGTGTTGTATGTTTATGCTGAAATATAATAAAATAATGGTTTGTTTAAAAAAAACTAAAAAAACATCTATCGTGTGTCATTTTGTGTAGTGAGTTGGCTCACGTGACTTTGCGCTTCAGAACTTCCATTTAGGGAACATAGTGAGCATCGATGCTCCCTGGTTTTCAGAGTGCATTGTGGGTCTTTTTAGAGAGCGAATGTTTTAGTGCACTGTAGGATTTTGCGCTTGAGGAACCCTACTCACTGCCCTGACTACTGAACTACAGTAGATAGCATATTAAGACGCACCCATTGTTTCTATTACTCTCTTGTTTGTTTACATAGTTACCCTTATTAGTTACCATAACTACTCATTTCCCACACCTGTTAGCTTGTGAATTTATACCCCAGAGTTTCTCTTGTTCTTTATCTGGTAGTGATGGGATAAACAAAGCTTTTCAAAATCCGAATCACTTGTTCAAAACAAATTAATTTAAATAAACATGTCTATTGCACTTGGATCCGACACTCCCTCGTTACAAAAGCCCCGTCACAGAACACCAGACTATGTGGTTCCAGCAGTAAGATGAATCCGGCTCCGTGAAGGCACACGTACACTTAAGGACCACACTAGAGACTTCTTGGACATTGCTTATCTGACTGACCTCCTGGACTTTGGCCTCATTGATTTCTATTGCCTTGGAATAAATAACCATTTTCAATCAATACTTCTCTGTGATGGTCCTCGAGGGTTGCTGTGTGAGTTCTTGGAGTACGTCCTCCAGTTGAAAGGTTCCCCCTTTTACCGTGGGGGAGGTGGAGGAACCAGTGGTCTGGAGTCTGGTGGTCCCAACGCTTCCAAGTCTGGTGGTCTCAGTGCTTCCAAGTCCGGTTGTCTCAGCGCTTCCAAGTCCGGTGGTCTCAGCGCTTCCAAGTCCGGTTGTCTCAGCGCTTCCAAGTCCGGTGGTCTCAGTGCTTCCAAGTCCGGTTGTCTCAGCGCTTCCAAGTCCGGTGGTCTCAGTGCTTCCAAGTCCGGTGGTCTCAGCGTTTCCAAGTCCGGTTGTCTCAGCGCTTCCAAGAATGGTGGTCTCAGTGCTTCCAAGTCCGGTGGTCTCAGTGCTTCCAAGTCCAGTGGTCTCAGCGTTTCCAAGTCCGGTTGTCTCAGCGCTTCCAAGTCCGGTGGTCTCAGTGCTTCCAAGTCCGGTTGTCTCAGTGCTTCCAAGTCCGGTTGTCTCAGCGCTTCCAAGTCCGGTGGTCTCAGTGCTTCCAAGTCCGGTGGTCTCAGTGCTTCCAAGTCCGGTTGTCTCAGCGCTTCCAAGTCCGGTGGTCTCAGCGCTTCCAAGTCCGGTTGTCTCAGCGCTTCCAAGTCCGGTTGTCTCAGCGCTTCCAAGTCCGGTGGTCTCAGTGCTTCCAAGTCCGGTGGTCTCAGCGTTTCCAAGTCCGGTTGTCTCAGCGCTTCCAAGAATGGTGGTCTCAGTGCTTCCAAGTCCGGTGGTCTCAGTGCTTCCAAGTCCAGTGGTCTCAGCGTTTCCAAGTCCGGTTGTCTCAGCGCTTCCAAGTCCGGTGGTCTCAGTGCTTCCAAGTCCGGTTGTCTCAGTGCTTCCAAGTCCGGTTGTCTCAGCGCTTCCAAGTCCGGTGGTCTCAGTGCTTCCAAGTCCGGTGGTCTCAGTGCTTCCAAGTCCGGTTGTCTCAGCGCTTCCTAGTCCGGTGGTCTCAGCGCTTCCAAGTCCGGTTGTCTCAGCGCTTCCAAGTCCGGTGGTCTCAGTGCTTCCAAGTCCGGTGGTCTCAGTGCTTCCAAGTCCGGTGGTCTCAGCGTTTCCAAGTCCGGTTGTCTCAGCGCTTCCAAGTCCGGTGGTCTCAGTGCTTCCAAGTCCGGTTGTCTCAGCGCTTCCAAGTCCGGTGGTCTCAGCGTTTCCAAGTCCGGTGGTCTCAGCGCTTCCAAGTCCGGTGGTCTCAGTGCTTCCAAGTCCGGTTGTCTCAGCGCTTCCAAGTCCGGTGGTCTCAGTGCTTCCAAGTCCGGTGGTCTCAGCGTTTCCAAGTCCGGTTGTCTCAGCGCTTCCTAGTCCGGTGGTCTCAGTGCTTCCAAGTCCGGTGGTCTCAGTGCTTCCAAGTCCAGTGCTCTCAGCGTTTCCAAGTCCGGTTGTCTCAGCGCTTCCAAGTCCGGTGGTCTCAGCGCTTCCAAGTCCGGTGGTCTCAGTGCTTCCAAGTCCGGTTGTCTCAGCGCTTCCAAGTCCGGTGGTCTCAGCGCTTCCAAGTCCGGTGGTCTCAGCGCTTACAAGTCCGGTTGTCTCAGCGCTTCCAAGTCCGGTTGTCTCAGCGCTTCCAAGTCCGGTTGTCTCAGCGCTTCCAAGTCCGGTGGTCTCAGCGCTTCCAACTCCGGTGGTCTCAGTGCTTCCAAGTCCGGTGGTCTCAGCGCTTCCAAGTCCGGTGGTCCCAAGTCCGGTGGTCTCAGCGCTTCCATGTCCGGTGGTTTCAAGTCCGGTGGTCTCAGCGCTTCCAAGTCCGGTGGTCTCAGCGCTTCTAAGTCCGGTGGTCTCAGTGCTTCCAAGTCCGGTGGTCCCAAGTCCGGTGGTCTCAGTGCTTCCAAGTCCGGTGGTTTCAAGTCCGACGGTCTCAGTGCTTCCAATCCCGGTGGTCCCAAGTCCGGTGGTCTCAGTGCTTCCAAGTCCAGTGGTTTCAAGTCCGGTGGTCTCAGCGCTTCCAATCCTGGTGGTCCCAAGTCCGGTGGTCTCAGTGCTTCCAAGTCCGGTGGTCCCAAGTCCGGTGGTCTCAGCGCTTCCAAGTCCGGTGGTTTCAAGTCAGGGGGTCTCAGCGCTTTCAAGTCCGGTGGTCCCAAGTCCGGGGGTCTCAGCGCTTCCAAGCCCAGTGGTCCCAAGTTTGGGACGCAACAGTTCCCCTGCTCCTTCCAAGGCATCGGCAACCACTACAGCTCTTCCCGGGGCGGCTGCGTCCCCTCCTGAACCCTCTGCCTGCCCTGTCACGGCCACAGAGGCTGTCTATGAACATCTATGAACATCTGTCCACCCAGTTATGGCCATGGAGGTCGCTTTTGGACTCTCTGTGTCCCTTGTCATAGCCGTTTTAGCCATCCCTGAACTCTCTGCGCATACCTGTGTCTGTGATCTTATCTGAACTCTCTGGGCTTTTTCTCTCTGTCCTTCCAGAGCCACTGTGGTCTTCAGCCCCATCTGCTTCACAACGGTGGTCCAATATAAATCTCGTTAAATTATAAATGCCTTTTGATCAATTTAATGTGTCCTTGCTGTATAAAAGTATTAATTAAAAAAATCTTACAAACCCCAAACTTGACTAGACTATGTCATTTATAATGTTTTATGTCTTCAGGATTTACATTTGTTTTAGACGAAGTTGAAATCAGTCTGATTTATGGCATCTACAGAAGCCATAAAATCTGGTTCTCTATGGAAACTTTTTTATTACTTTAATTTCTACTGTTGCACTTCATATGAATAGGTTAAAATCTGTGAACACCAAAGAGTATTTAATCTTGTAAACTTTACTAAACGTATAATGAAAAAAGGATGCATACAGATAACAGAAACTCACAGCTGCTAGCTTGTCGAAACGGGCAAACAATTCGTTAAGCAACTTAACCAATTCCTGCGCACTACAGGACGAGGACAGCTGTGTGAAGCCCACGATGTCTGCGAACAGAATACTGCAACAGAAATACAGTAAAAGGCTCCTTTTAGTAACAATCTGCATCAAGCTTTGCTCTCATTTACTGAAAATCTGCAACAAACTCACCTGACATTCTCATGCCGATACATGTACATCGTGTTGAACTGCTGCATCTCTTTCTGACTGGCTTCTTTCTTCATGTCCTGAAGCATCTCGTCTGCGATGTGCTTGGGCAAGATGGACAGCAGGAGACGCTCCTGTATGAGGAAGAACATCGACTGATTATACGAACATAACTGTCTTGTGCATTTGTTACTGTACATGCGCATCTGCAGACTTGATACACACAAGTTGTGCACATAAGGTACATTGTCCCAGGCCCTGTAAGATCACATACAACCTAGAAGCTTTGCTCAGTTTCACTACGTGAAATCTCACGGCCCACAGAGAAGGAAATGAATAATTGAATAAAGTCGTTATTTTTGTTTGTTTTTTTGCGCACAAAAAGTATTTTTGTCGCTTGATAAACTTAAGATTGAGCCACTGTCGTCACTCGGACTATTTTAACGATGTCTTTCATAACTTTTTGGCCGGCCAGTTTCGATCCCTTAGAAGCCTATGGAGGAGTGATCCAGCTCTCAGATTTAATCACAAATATCTTAATTTGTGTTCCGAAGATGAACGAAAGTCTTGACACTCAGCTGATCCACATCTACCTATAAGAATACAACGCCCATCACTGTATTCATATTTAAGCTCCTTCACCTTCAGTATTATCAGCAGCTATCGCGTTTCTAAAGGGATAATTACCCTCCTCCATCCCCAGCTCCTCCTCTCGTCAGTCAGCATTTGGCATTCTGATTCCCCTTGAATCAGAGTTAAAATTCTCTAATTATGTTGTATATTAAAATTAATTAATGATATCTGCTATACATTCATGTTGGTTCTGTTCTGTTTACCCTAAGCAGGGTTATTGCTGCTCTTATCCATGCTAGGCTACATGGATGCGCAGGGAGTTCTCGCCCAGAACAGAACCATACCACCAGTCCAAACTGTACGGTAACTGTCAATCGTATTTGAAGATAGTGGTCCTGACAGAAGCTTAGTCAACTAATGACCTCATAACTAACAGACTAGGGTTCGAATCTAAAATCGATTCCAATTCTGGAATCAGATACTTAAGGTCAAGAATCGATTACTTGTTATGAAATTAAAATTTCGATTCCACTTATCGATGTGTGTGCATTTTAATGTGATTTTAAATTCTGCATTTGCTGTTTTCTGTGCTGGACACAAAAAGCCACCTCTCATTTAGTGCATGAGTCTTGAATTGAGTTCTCTTTCGCGTCTTCTTGCACTTGAATGGACAAAAATACACACAAAATGATGTCAAAATATCCTCCTATACACAGTCAGTTATGTTTTAAGTGTACATAAACAGTTGAGAAAGAAAACGTATGTGTCGATATATTGGATCAGGGCCTTTGATCTTAAATTGACAGCAAGAGAAAAGAAAAAGATCACTCACTGATCTTGACTGAATAACTTGATAACTTTAATAAGGATTCATCTGTATTTTACTTATGAAAAAAAAACTCAGCTATGGAAGCTTGTTTCCGACACAATAACAAAAAAAGGTCATTGTGACTTTTTATCTCACAATTCTGACTTCTTGAAAAAAAATCTAATAAATTTTTTTTGGATTTTGAGATAAAAACTCACAATTATCTTTTAAATTGGTTAAAAAGAAGTGTTCTTTTACATTTGATTTCACAAATGATTTGTATTTATTTGTGCTATTGCTAATTTGCTTATTGTTCTTGTTATATGACTGACCATATACTTGTCTTTAATAATGTTTGAAATTTATATTAGTTAGTCTAGTTTATTAGTTAGTTGTTCTTTAGGCTGCTGATTAAAATCTAAATGTTAGTTTGACTTCTTTTTTACCATGTTGGAATCGAAACTGGGAATTGATAAGAATTGTAATCCATAGGCAGAATTGGAATTGCTAAAATTCATACAATGTATAAACACACATGGAGTAAAAGCCATAAATCCTTATTTTGATTGCTTCAAAAAAGCGACAAACCTATACGTTCAAAGCTAAAGGAAATGCAGATGAAACTGGAGGGTGGAAAAACACACACAAAAAAATATAAAAAGGTATTGGTCAAATATGTTCCTTGACCAGGAACTGATACACCAGATGGGAACCTGTGAACATGTCCACTCACAGAAGGGGATTTCAGTCCCAAACATATTTCACAACTGATCACACGAGTGGCTTTGCTTTGCCTCCAGTCCACCCCGAGGCATCGGCGTGATACGACTCTGACACGACAAGCAGGACAACGCAGAGCCCTTTAGCGCGCACACACACACACACACCCACCCACCCACACACTGCCGCTCTCCTCCAACACATTCTACCACTCCTACACACACACACACACACACACACACATGAGCAGAGGAGGCAGCTGACAACATATCAGGTCAGTATAATCACCCGAGAGTGTGACAATAAAAGAAGATAAAGGTTGGAAGGGATCAAGAGGAGGGAGTCGCTAGTGTGATTACAGCTGACATTGTCTCAGGAGGTTGGTCGCCATGGTAACCCGCTGTAGCCGGATGCTCCTTGATTGGCTTGCAGACCCCGTATCCCAGCAGCCCCTGCTTCTCCATTAGTATTCAGGGAGTTTCTCCTCATATGCTTCTTATCGGTCTGTTTTGCTCTCTCTCTCTCTCTCTCTCTCACATATACGCACCTATTTTCCTTCTCAACTTTCCGCTAATAGGAAGTGTTTGCTCTGTAAGTGATGAACTGACTGCTGAATCGATACACACATACATGAAGCAATTTCCTGCCCAGACAAAAACTGAAAATCCACTATGACATCACACAGTTGCAGCCAATCAGAACATATCAGATGCTAATGCTGCCTTCACGTCCAATCGGAAATTTTCAACGTCTCACTTCTGATGTCGTGATTACGCGCTCGTCGCATTCAAGTGCTTCGTTGTTGTAAAGAACGGGAACCATGGAGGACACCAGGTTTATTCTTGCCTATTAATTGGGAAATTCTTATTAAAGCCAAAATGATATTTTGGCATCCCATTCATTGGGAAACATTCCCCACGGTATTTATACTCAGCTTGATCACCATTCTGGAATTTCAGTCAAATACAGGCTATTTTTGCTGTGTATAATACATACAATACGCTTCAAATGACTGTTCATATAACGAAATATGCACTACTTAACAACAAGACATATGATGTAGTGATGCAGCGGTTATGGAAAAAAATGAAAAAAGAATAGCAGTCACGGCCACAATCGTTCTCCCCTCCGCCATGTTTAAAGTTTGTGGCCCGTCCATCTCGGGAACTTGGGTATCAAAATTATTATCCTCAAACTTCCCAGTCGTAAATGCGAATTGAGAGGGCGTTCGTCCAATTTTTAACTAGGAAACTCGTATTTACGATAATTCCGATAGCATGTGAAGGCAGCGTTAATTAATATACAGGTTTGTAGGGTGGGATTTTAGGCCAATGAGATTTCACTGTGGGCGGGGCTACATAACATGACATCACAGGAAAACAAACCAGCTGATCAACAAAATCAAGTTATTACATTTTATACGAAAATACGCTTAACATTTTTTTCATTGAGTACAATAAAAGTCCGTTCACAAATTTATTATCATTGTTTGGTGAATTATCACTGTCAAAATCTAGTAATTTCAATAGCAATCCGCGCAATCAGGAAGCGCGGAAGATTTCCCCATGCAGATTTCGCAACAGGTTCAAGTCTGTCATGCAAATTCGCTGCATTGACCAACAAAAAGACAGAATAAATATGTTCAATATCTAAATGTTAGTTTGACTTAATTTTTTACCATGTTGGAATCGAAACTGGGAATTGATAAGACTTGTAATCCAATCGGAATCGCTAAAATTCAAACAATGTATAAACAGACATGGGGCCCTATTTTAACGATCTGAAACACAAGTATCAAGCGCGGAACGCAAGTAACTTTGTGGGCGGGTCTTGGGCGCTGTTGCTATTTTACCGGCGGGATAAATGAGTCCACAATTTCGGAGTCCACACTTCGGTGACGTAATGTAGTGCAGACCTATAGGGCCCTTAGCGCGAGTCCGCGAGGGCGCATTGAGAGGTATTTTTGGGACAGACTCGATCGTCACGCCGGAAACAGGAAGACGGTCTGATTGTTGTTATGGACAGGAGCTACAGGTTCGGGGAAATATGCGGCCTATTGTTGTTGTGTTTACATATGACTCAGTAAAGCCCGGACATTCTGTTCTATTTATTTAATGAATCATAATGCGATCGTATTATTCAGCTCGCTATTATTAGCCTATGTTTGAGACATCAACCACTGGTCGATGATCATAATGTTTGTATAAACTTGTCATAAAAACCGTAATGATAATTACACTTAAATATTTTCTTCTCAGCCATGTTAACAATTGTCCGTGAGCGAAATCTCCTCCCATCCGTCGTCTGATTGGCCTTTCGCAAGGATTCCTGGGTAGTTAAAGTGTGTGGAGCCTGCATCTATGAGGGCTTCGCGGAAGACCGCTTCAAGGGTACACAGGGGGCGCTGCTGAGCACACTTCAGAGCGTTAAAATGGGACGGCCTACGGACTCGTAGACTCGGCGAGCACACGCAATTTAAGTCCACGTGACCGAAAGTCCGCATGAAGAGCGCCATTTGGGACAGGGCCAATGACTCTTGCGCCCAACGCAAGTTTAAAAGGGGTTGGTCTGAAAGAGCTTCATTATTCATAGGTGTGGTTTGGGCGTAACGTGAAATAAGCCAATCAGAGCGTCATCTCACATTCCCTTTAAGAGCAGGAGCGCATGTTGCATGGCGGATTGTTATTATTATGGCGGATTTACCAGGCGCGCGCCAGGAGCGGTTCACAGCCGAGGAGACCGACGTTCTTGTCAGGGCAGTGAAAGACAGAGAAGTGACGTTGTATGGGGATGGGAGTTTTTTTATCATGGTTCTTGACGGACAAACTAATTTGTCAGATGTCCTTATATACATATGTGTCTTGCCACTATTGGGCAAACAGGTCTGATCCGTCATTACTACAATTAGCCTGAATAATTTGGGTAAATGTGTAAGCTAGATTTAGATCTTCATGGACACCACAATGATTTCCCTCATGTGTTAATATTTTTCCTTGTTATAATGTATGATTTGCAAATCTGCATCTGTGTTGATGAGAGAATCAAAGTGTATGCGCGTTGTGCACCCGCTACATTATGGCCAAGCATGCGCGCTTAAAATAGCATTATGAACAACGCGCAACGCGCCATTATTCTCTGGAACTGCAAAATAGCACCAGGGATTGTGTGCGCCGAAACACGCCTCCTTTTTGCGCCGACCCGCTCAGGGAGCGCAAGTTCCTTTCCTAGTTTACCGACGTGCGTCTGTGGAGGGAAAAGCCCGCTTTGTGCGGGTGCAAAATAGGAATGATACATGTGTCAGTGTACAAAGTCATTTGCGACGGGTGCAAGATAGGGCCCATGGAGTAAAAGCCACAAAACCTTATTTTGATTGCTTCAAAAATAGCCACAAAGCTACAATTACACAGCCTGGTTAAAACCAGAGCATTCTCAGTTGTAACTGAGTTATGGTCTGGCAAAGCGTCATAGACAAATCATTTCCAGAGGGGCGTCACCAGCGGACGTCGCGGATAGACCTAAACCCAATCAGAGCGATGAAGGAGATGACGTATGCAGAGCGGCGGAGAAACATCTCCGAGTGTTGTTCTTTGCTCGGTTTTTAACTAAAAGGAAACATTCAAATCGCTTAAAACAGACGCGATAGCTGATTGGAACGAGTGATGTTCGACGGCGGCATCCATCTTTGTAATGTAGGCTACAAAATCTGCTTCAAAATCCCAGCGCTGTCGTCATCGTGTAAAGCCCGCCCCAACGCTTCTGATTGGTGCCGCGATTTCGGCGGATTGGAAATGGGCTTGAATGAGCTCTTTGCCAGACTAACTTTCAGAGCAAATCTAAATTTGCCGGAAGTTGTCTGGGTTTTCCCAGGCTAACAATTACATTCAAAGCTAAAGGAAATGCAGATGAAACTTGAGGGTGGAAAAACACACACAAAAAAATATGAAAAGGTATTGGTCAAATATGTTCCTTAACCAGGAACTGATACACCAGATGGCAACCTGTGAACATGTCCACTCACAGAAGGGGATTTCAGTCCCAAACATATTTCACAACTGATCACACGAGTGGCTTTGCTTTGCCTCCAGTCCACCCCGAGGCATCGGCGTGATACGACTCTCTAACAGCTTCAAGTTTCTCATGCAAATTCGCTGCATTGACCAACAAAAGGCTGCTTGGGTTGAAGAACCTTCATACACCGCTACACTATAGATATAAAACTTTTATCCTTGTGAAATATCTCAGAACTTTTGCTTACGAGACTGAATCATACGACCAGGAATAGTGCTGCATGATTAATTGAAATAAAACTGAATTTGTGCTGTTGCAAATAAGCAAAACAGGAAATGCTGCTTAGCTCATCAGATGAGCATGTCCAGCGGAGGAACCGACCGCTCAGCAGGAGAACATTCCCACGCTCCTCCTGGTTTTGTGATGTTTCTCTCACCTGCTGCTGACTCTGCTCCTCCAGGTTGAGCTTCACCTCCAGCGACTGCCGGGCCTCCAGAAAGGCCTTGCGGTGTTTGCGGTCGGCCATGTAATACGACATGACGCCCACTGTGATGGCACATAAGTAGATCACAATGTTGGCCAGCAGCTGCAAGACAGAACAACACTATCATGACACGCATCCACTGTTCTTACACAACCCTTCTTGACTTAGAGTCTAAGCTGTATTATATAAGCTATGTATTTATGCATACGGCCAAAAGTTTGGAATTACGATTTTTTGGTGTTTTTAAAATAAGTCTTTTATGTCCACCAAGTCTGAAAATATAGAACTGTTTTCTAATGTAAAATATTTTAAATGTATTTTATTCCTGTGATCAAAGCTGAATTCAGTGTCACATGATCCTTCAGAAATCACTCTAATATGATGATTTGATGCTCAAGAAACATTTCTGATTATTATCAATGTTGAAAACAGTTATTCCAAATACTGCCAGTTTATATGATTTAGAAAACATAAATAATTGACATGAAAACAATAAACAAAGTGATTGAAATTACTGTCAAGAACTAAGTAAATTGCAGTTATTTAAAAACTACCATGATGTATAAATATTTTAAAATGTAAAATAACAATATCATTTTTTTTCACCTTCCAGTAATAAGAATTTGCACAAAACACACACACACAGAAAAACAAACAAACAAACACATGCTGTTCCAAAATATGCATTATTTTTTTACTTTTGATTTTAGGGTGAAATGACCTGGACATTGTGAGATTCACTCTATCACAGAAGGACCTGCACTGCACAGTAATGCCACTATGAAGCGTGGACTCGATGTTTTTGCTCTGTAATGTATTCTTTCTAATACCCTGCTTTCTGTGTTACGTCTCTCGGGGCTGCAGTCTTGCTGAGTAAGAAGAGCTCAGCATCTCGGCTGGACACCTGCCGGCCCTTCTGGCCCCTTCTACCATCTTACGACTGCAGAGCCATAGACCGACAGCATGACACACGCGCACACATGCACAATATCAACTATAACAACCACAAATATATTTATGATGCATCACCTGAATCTGATGAAAGCATGCACAGTCATATTTCATCCAAAAACCTAAATTCTATTATTATATATATATTGCATTAAAAAATTGAAGACCAGATTTTGTAACATTATTATGTTCATGACTAAAGAAATGTAGGGCAGTACAACATGCTACCATTATGTTTAAATGCTTTACAATTTAAATAATATATTATACAGTATTTTTCTTCAGCTAACTAAACTTACAGTCTAAAAAATGATGATGTTGTTTCAACCCAAATTTGGGTCAAATAAGGACAAACCAATTAATTTTTAAATTAAATTGTTTAACCCAACACATGGGTTAGTCCATTTTTGAACCCGACTTTGGGTTAAAACAACCCTGCATTTTTTAGAGTGTATCTAAATTTATATCTACTTCATCTCTAGGTCGCTGGTTAAAAGATAAAAGATAAACGTTTCAAAAAGGGGTTTTCGCAGCCATAGAAGAACCATTTTTGGTTCCCTAAAGAGCCTTTCAGTGATCAGTTCTTAAAAGAACCAGGTTTTTCTCATTTTAATAATCTAAACTCTTAACAATAATTTTCTACTATGAAGAACCTGTCAAAAATTCAATAAATATAAATAAAGAACCTTTTTTTAAGAGTGTATGGTAGCTACTACATGGGGAATTTCACATGTGAGATCCGATGATTTATAAAGTAAAAATTGAATTCAATATAATTCTGAATCTTTAATTCAGTCTGCCTGCAGATGTTTCTTCACGAATCATCTAAACAATCTATTTTAGTAAACAAAATGTAAGACATTTCAAATTGTAATGTAGGAACCATTTCTTAAATAATTAGTAGCATAAAAGACAAAAACTATTCCATCTAGAAATGAGTATTATGCATTAAATCCTAAATTTGATCAAATCTGTTTTAATATCTGTAACACTTTACAATAAGGTTCCAACATTATTAACTACATTAGTTAACAATGAATAATACTTCTAAAACATTTGATTTCAACATTATTAAAATCATAAGTTAATATTGTTAATATTATTTAGTGGACCTATAAGCTAACAGAAACTATAACGGACATTAACAAAGATGAATAAATGCTATAACAAATTAATTGCTCTTTTTTACTTAATGTTTGTTAACATTATGGGATCTTATCCTTTCTATGAACTAGCACGTCTTTACACAAACATTGGCAGCTGGATTTGTAACTCAGAGAAAATGTTTCTTATACAGTAAGTACCGGTTATATATATATATATATATATATATATATATATATATATATATATGTATGTATTTGATAAAGATTGTTGTCACTGACACTGAGTCTTTGAGTTTCTCAGGTTTTAACACCAGATGAATCAGACTTTGATCAGAATCCTCAGAAGGAGCTGAGCTTCATTTACACTCTTAAAAATAAAGGTTCCCGAAGGGTTTTCACAGTGATGCCATCGAAGAACCATTTTGGGTTTCCCAAAGAATCTGCATGTTTCAGCATGTTTTTCTTAGTGTGAAGAACATTTTAAAAATCTAAAGAACTTTTTTTGGTTACACTTTATTTTAAGGTTGTTACAGTAGTTACATTGTACTTACTCAAATAAGTACTATTAATTAACTGTGTACTTAGAGTTATGGTTAGGGTTAGTTACTTGTAGTTATGCTTAATTTACTGTTCTTACTATAGTAAGTACATGTAGTAACGTGTAACTACATCCCCTTAAAATAAAGTGTCTCTTTTTTCCCATAAAAAGAACATTTTGTGGAATGAAAAGATTCCCTGGATGTTAAAGTGTATTTTTTTTAAGTGTAGAAGAAAAATTTCAGGTCCGACAAAAAACCTTTCAGTGAATATGTCTTAGAAGGAAAATAATTCGATGTTCAAGGTAAAGGAACTTTATTTAGTGTAGTGGGAAAAGGTTTTTTAGGATCTTTGTGGACTTCACACTAGGACAAACAATGGTTCTGTTCACTGAAAGGTACACTGATATATTTATAAGAATATATAAGAAAATATATTTTTACGAGTGTAGAAGAACAATTGTGGCGCCCACAAATAACCTTTCAGCGAATATTTCTTAAAAGGAAAAATTCCATGGATGGTGTTGAAACTTTATTAAGTGTAGTGGAAAAAGGTTTAAAAAAAAAAAAAAAAAAAAAAAAAGGTTCTTTAAACTGTACTGTTGACTCAAATGTTCTTTGGGGAACCAAAAAAGGTTCTTCTATAGCATCACTGAAAACCTCCTATTTAAGAGAGTATAAAGAGTCTTTTGCGGAATGGAAAGATTCAACGGATGTTAAAAGTTCTTCACAAGAACCATCGAACCCAATACATTTTGTTTTGAGAGTGAAGAAGAACAATTGTGGCGCCCACAAATAACCTTTCATTGAATATTTCTTAAAAGAAAAAATTCCATGGATGGTGTCAAAACTATATTTAGTGTAGTGGAGAAAGGTTTTTTAGAGACTTTGTGGACTTCTTTAAATTGTACTGTTGACTCTCAAAGGTTCTTTGGGGAACCAAAAAAGGTTCTTCTATTGCATCACTGTGAAAACCTCCTTTTTAAGAGAGTATAAAGAGTCTTTTGCAGAATGGAAAGATTCAACGGATGTTAAAGGTTCTTCGCGGAACCATTGATCCCAAAAAAAAAGAAAGTATTTTTGGTGTCGAAACTCTATTAAGTGTAGTGGAAAAGGTTTTTTAGAGACTTAAAAAAAAAAAAAAAAAGGTTCTTTAAATTGTACTGTTGACTCAAAGGTTCTTTGGGGAACCAAAAATGGTTCTTCTATGGCATCACTGTGAAAACCTCCTTTTTAAGAGAGTATAAAGAGTCTTTTGCAGAATGGAAAGATTCAACGGATGTTAAAGGTTCTTCGCGGAACCATTGATCCCAAAAAAAAAGAAAGTATTTTTGGTGTCGAAACTTTATTAAGTGTAGTGGAAAAGGTTTTGTAGAGACTTTTTTTTTTTTTAAATGGTTCTTTAAATTGTACTGTTGACTCAAAGGTTCTTTGGGGAACCAAAAAAGGTTCTTCTATGGCACCACTGTGAAAACCTCCTTTTGAACCCTTTATTTTTAAAGAATCTTTTGTGGAATGGAAAGATTCCATGGATGTTAAAGGTTCTTCACGGAACCATCGGTTCCAATAAAGAACCTTTAATTTTAAGAGACTCCTGCCATCTCTCCATCATTTTTCTCACCTGTCTTCCGAGAGCCGCCCCCTGAATGTCCTCTTGCTGCTGCTGGGCAATGGTGACGCCGAGGACCAGTGTGTGTACGCCACAGGACACAGACGTGATCAGAACTATAGGGGTCAGTCTCAGCGGCAGCGTCAGAAAGAAGGAGAAGCTAAAGAAAGCCTGCCAGCCTACAGTATCACTGGGCTGATGGAAGCGGGCAAAGTTCAGTCCGAGGTAACAGAAGATCTGGGCCGCTATGAGCACCCATAAGGCGTAGGGCACCAGGCGGCGGGTCACGCGGTCGGGGAGAAGACCGAACCGGCACAACACGTACAAGAGCACGTCTGCTAGCAGTCCCACCGACGCCACGACCACAGACGCCAGCTTATCGCTGGAGTAAAGCACGGTGCACATCACGATGACGTAGCAGTCGAACAGGGCGGCGAACACCACCAGCACCAGCAGGGTCTCGTGCCGCTGCCGCCGGAAATACGTCTGGTAGAGGTTCTCCAGAGAGTCTGGAGCGAAAGTTAAACGCATGAACCGCGGGAGACACAGGCAGCAGCCGGAGCTGCGTACGGTCACCTCGTGTGTGCGTCCCACGGCCTGTCCCGGGTCAGAGGGCAGGGTGACCGAACAGTCCGCCGAATACTCCGCAGAATACTCCGGCTCAGAGAAAGCCCGGTTTCGAGGCATTCTGGGCGTTGGATTGTGAAAAACGCTATGAAAACTAGGCTAGTACTCCTTTTGGGTTTTAATGCAACCGGCGCTCTAAGAACATTGCGCTTGGGTCGCTTGAAACGTGTCGGGTAACGTCCAATCCTGAGATCAGATCCGAAGTCGCCACTTGATTGTCATGGCGCATGTTTAGATCTTGCATGCATGTTCGTGGCATTGGCGCTTTGGCACTTCGAGAAGCTACACGCCTTTTGTTTTTCCTGATGTCTGCAAAGACAGGGCCCAGCAAGTTGGCGACAAAAAAGGGAAGCCGTTTACTACACATCCATGAGACTCTCTGTTCCCAATCCAGGATCCAGTCTCGGTGTCCACCAGCGCTCACTGTGGGTTTCCATGGTGAATCCTCGCATGGATGAAGAACATCAGGAAGGAAGAGATACGACCATTGAACGAGAAGTTTCGCCCCAGATCGACATGACACCCTGTGAAAAGCTTAAATGGACAGAACAGACGTGATCGTGATCGGAGTGCGTATCGTGGCCAGATACAGTCTGTTATTATAATGCATTTCTCTTCTTCCTGTGCATCATCAGGATTCACGCAGGAAATACATGTTGCGCTCCCGAAATATGGAAATGCATTTCACAATACGCCGCTGCTGTCTTCTGTTATGCTAAGAAATGGTACATATCCTGACATTTTCACCAGTGAAATCACCACAAGACGTGCAAAACGGGATTTCCCCAGATGTTCAGTGATGAAAACGTGGATTTATTTATCTTGCAGCGCTGCCTTTATCCGTAACATATCCACATAACATAACACAGTCATTCGAAGATGTAAAGTGTGGCACAGATCAATCACAAAATCACCCGTAAAACGCAGGAAAATCACCGTATGCTTGACTCGAAGGCTTTTCCCCCCACCAAAAGTCATCAATAATCATCCGACTTTCCGTTTGAAGGATGAAAACAGAAGATATTGGCTCAGTCTTCAGTTCTCCTGCCCTGATAGACCAGACCTGGCAGTTTTCATTGAGTCTCTGTGTACATATACGGAGATTCAGTCGTCCTCACTTTCTAGATGCAAGCGAACATCATGTCCGATTCGTGGAGGAACCGGTTCTTATTAATGATTCATACGAACCGATTCTCTAAGCTTTAGCGAATCATTCTAATGGAGAAAGTTTGAGTTAAAGGGATAGTTTACCCCAAAATGAAAATGTTGTCATCATTTACTCACCCTCATGTTGTTCCAAACCCGTATGAGTTTCTTTCTTCTGTTGAACTCCAAAGAAGATATTTCTAAGAATGTCGAAGAATGACAGCTTAGTTATCTAAAATTCGTAATCGAATTTAGCAAAATGTAAATTTATCAATTTAAGGAAGGAAAGGAGTAAGACATAAATGACATGTTGAAAGCAGAATGTAGGCTATGTCATGGGAAACATAGTTATAAACAGCATATGCTTATACAAAATAAATAAGGACGTAAAATGCCGCACAAGACTTTTGGGAACACTTTTCAGCGATGACTCGATTCAATCGATTCCTCTAAATCGATCCTTCAGAGCGAACCGATTCGCTGAAATGAATCAGACTTCTCCATCGTACTATGGCGTCGGCTTGCGACAAGAATATTCATTTGATTGTGCTGACGTATCTTTGTGAGTGTCCAAACACCCATCCTGTTTAATATTCATGAGCGTAACCTTCTCTATAGTAGGATTGGCCACTGGCCAGACTGTGTCAACAGCTACAATTATTCAGCCCATCTTGTTACAAACCCTACAGCAAATTTCTATGAATATAGCCTAAATTCAATGCAAGAAAAAAAAAAAAAACCTTTGCTTAGGGCTTTTTACATGTAGGCGATTTACAAACCTGTAAACACTCTCAGTGTAAACAAAATGTAAAGAATACAAATATATTGCTAAAGGATTCAAGTGTAAAACACAAGTAGCCTACTCATTGATTTGAAATCATTGAGATATTATTATAGTATTTTTTATTATTTTGAATGAGTTTTATTGTTGTATTTTCTGTTTTCATTTTACTTTTAGTAAGTTCTAGTAATTTCTGCAGTGTGTTTTTGTCATTGTTTTGTTATTATTATTATTTTATTTTATTTTCAGTTTTAATGTAGGGCATCAAGTTGCAACTAGCTGAAATAAGTTAAATATATTTTATTTCAGTTAACATTTATTTTATTTTCAAGCAACAAAAATGTTTTATGGTTTTAGTTTTAGTCAACTATAAGCCTGGTTTGGAGCGAGACGATATGAAGTAACATAAAGTCACATAATAAGGTTTTTAATTAAATATATAAATACCCAGATCTCTCTCTCTCACACACACACACACATACACACAGGGAAGTTGCTTTACCGCAGTGAGGGCTAAATGTGTGTGTGTTTGGATAGCTGTGGGCCAGTATTTAGCAGTTGAACAGGCCCATACATGTTCAAGAAGGGTTGCTTTAACGTTTATCAATAGCATTACATAAAATGACGTGTTTTAGCTACTGTTAAAACTGACGTTGACAGTCTGACACCACTGACATCACCTCAGGGTCGTATTGATTATTCCACTGAAACTCAGTATTGAACAAGTGATCAATAGTCAGGCAGCTGACCTTTATAAAGCATACAGAAGGCATCAACACACATCATGCCTGACAGATGCATCACATCACATCTACTCAAGCATGAATGTGACATCACATGAGTGTGTGTCTGTGGATGATATCCCGAAGTCACTGCTGTGCACCTCAACACTGTTTGCTGTGATTAATATATATTCCCAGGCTCTGGTTGCTAAGTACGCAGTGAGAACCCGAGGGAGACAGGGAGCATGGTAATTATTAAATTCGCTTTGCCTCAGAGGTTCATAGGGGAACAATTATGGAATACTTAATTATACATGTGGAAGTTTGGGACTTTAAAGCTTCAGGGGAAAGCAGAGTGAAGAAACTGACCTTTTAGCACCTTGTTTAGTCGTGTTCTCTTCTGCAGCTCAAGCATTGTCCAGTTCATGCTAAAAGCTCTGTGTTTGCTGCAGTGTGAACGCTTGCTCGGAGGGAGATCAGGGGGTGATAGAGTCTCTGACACTTCTGGATTGTTGTAAATAACGTTTCTTAAATGTTGATTGCTGAGTCACGGTTTCCCAGAAAACACCATTTTGTTTTCCTCTCTGCTATGAAAAGGAAGATGGCAATGAAACTCACCTTGACAAATCAGTGTTTAACTTTTTACAGCTGATTATTTTACAGTTGAATTAAAGCCTGAGTAGTAACTTTGAAAATAATGTTATGTATGTATGTATAAATAAATAAAGCATATGTCCAATGTAGTATCATCGGTAGAATACTTGAAAGTATGGATATATATATATATATATATATATACACAAACACATTCAGAAAAAGCTTTCTCTCTATACATACATAAAAAAATTGTGTTTATATAATATATGTGTATATTATGTGTGTGTGTATATATACTGTACACACACACACACACACACACACACACACATATTAGTTTATAAGTAAATGGGAACTGTAATATCTTTTTATTTGTATTTTAGTTTTAGATATTTTAGTGCATCAAGTTGCAACGCGCTGAAATAAGTTATTTTTTTATATATATATATATTATTTCAGTTGACGTTTATTTTCATTTCAAGTACAAACATGTTTTTATGGTTTTAGTTTTCTAAAATAAGCATGGATGGAGTGAGACAATATGAAGTAACATGCTGATTATACATATATAACAGTCAAATAATAAATAAAAACGAATAGCTTTTTAATAGATAAAACAATGTAACAGTAAAATATAAAAAAAAAAAAAAAAAAAAAAACATTACCAAATACTTCATGATGAAGTGGCCCTTCGTCAAAATGTAGTTAAAAAATGTCAAGGTAAATAAATGCTACAATTTCCAAAAGGCAACTCACTAAAACAACAACGAATGTATAGTTCATTTGTATACTTTTCATTTGCATACAACACCACGTTATGCTACAAACACATTATTATTTTTAAGTTGTTCGTTTTTTTATTATTATAATAGGCTATATCTATTCATAATTTAGTTAGGTAGCTATGTAATTGAATTAAAACGATTAATTTATTTAATTTGGTTTAATTGTTATAAAACTCAACTTCTGTAATCTGTGCAGGCCTGTTTAGCTTACATTCAACAACCTTGCAAAGCATTTCAAACGAGTTTACTCCATTCTGACTTCCAGTTGTATTATTCATAGACAAAATTATTATGTCTATGGTATTATTACTACATGTATTACGGTCGCGCGTGTGACAGCCAGCGTGCGCGCGGAGGCTCGAGAGACGCAGGCGCGCAGGATGTGACGCTGTGCTGACGTGTATCTAGGGAAACCGAGGAAGTAAATGGTGGTTCTTTGACAAATGTTGTGAGAGATCCAGGGGGAAGAGACAGTGGCATGTCCACTAAACACGGGAGTGACTGGAGTAAGAGACTGGAGTGCGTTGGCAGACTCAGGTGCGGTGACTTAGACCAACACTGACAGCTTTAACTGACATCTGCGAAGCGGCTCGAGCCGAGAGAGAGAGAGACTGAGAGAGATAGCGCACAAAGACAACAAACATACAGACATAAAACAGAGAGGAAGGGTTTAAAAGCTGAAACTGTCTCTCTAGTGTTCAGACGTGTAGGGTTTAACGTGTCTTGTTGATTGGAAATGCGACTGGTAAATTGAGCTAACGAGATTAAGGAGCAGATAAAGGGGCTGCAGTGAATAAAACCCAGAGATTCAGTGTTTATATTGTTAAATAACAACATACAGTGGTGTATGATCTCTGAGATGTGTTCATAAGTCTCTCTTATGCTGTTCATTGCTGTTGTGGAGCACCTTTAACTCTGAAAACTAATATAGGCTATCACATATTTGTTGTAATGGAAGGAAATCTGTCTATCAAATGATACACTATACATTCATAAAAAGTTCTGATCAAGTTTAGAAACAAAATTGTATTAATTACTTTATTATTATATACATGAATAGAAACAATAACTGGGTACCTAGCAGGATGGAAATACAGAGCTGAAGTAGGCCAAGAACAATCATCTTAGCTCATTAATCTTAATGTTTTTAAATGTCTTTTGAAATTTGAGACTCATTTCTGAACTTTTATCAAACATATTGGAATATGTTACATGTTACATGCCATCTTATAACAAAACCTCACAACATTCACTAAATCCATTGCTAATACTGTGATGATGATCTGTTTTCCCACCTAAATGATGTCACTTCCTGGAATATAGTTGTATTGACCTGGCTTTAGTTTGTTGAAGGGATATTATACAGATTAAGGTTATGTTCATTCATCGCAAAGGGTTGAATTGAGCGCATTGCTTTGTGAGATACAGTTTTCCATGCATTGTGCTGATTTATACGGCTTATTTAGGGAAATAGATGCATACAGTATAGTTACAGCATACACACTCCTTTCAGAAAGAGAATGGACAGGGATATTGATGAATACTGATACCAATTAAAACTGGAGATGCACCGATGTATCGACCAATAATCTGTATCGGCCGATAAAAGCAAGTATTCTTTATAAATAGCCGATGATCAGAGTCGATTATATCCTGTCAATCAAAAGGGGGTGGAAAAATGTGTTAAGACTGCAACTCCCAATTTAGGACAAATTAATGTGACAATAACACGTTAACAGTTAAAAATAGCTTGATAAAAGCAGTGTATTTGACCCCGGTCAGGTTCGCTGTGTTTCCCGACACCAAACATTATTTGTAGCACCTCCCATCAAGTTATCGCAAAGAGCTTTGTGCTCCATTACTTCTGATAAGAAACAAGTCTCAGCTTTCCAATTCTGTCCATTTTATCAAGAAATTCATACAATAAATGGCATTTTGGCAGTCTTTTCTTCCACTTTAAGACAAGTTATAGCATGAAAAAACATGCATTAAAAGATCAAAAAATATGTTGAAAAATACAGTACAACTTACTGAAACCTATCATGTCTTGTAGTCGCTCAATCAGTGTTTCAACCGAGAAAGACGTTAATATTTACTGTTAATTATATATGCATGTTAGAATAAATTTGCCTTGAAGACAGGCGTTTATGATGCATACAAACATTTCAGTTTTTATTTAATATGATTATTACTAGGGGTGTAACAATGTATCATGTCACAATATATCGCAATACAAAAATGCAACAATATGTATCGTGGATAGTGATAATATGTGTATAATTCACCCAAAACAAAAATTTCAGAGTTTAAGTGTCAGTACTACATTAAACTACTGTATAATGTTGAATGTGATATATAATAATGCAATGGGGGAATATTTGTGGGTCCTCCTGATAATGCCAAATGCCATTAAAAAGTGGCCTACATTATTTTAAATATATCTAGCATATTTGTCTAAAATAATTCTGTATTTTCAGCTTCATAATCTTGAATATTTATTTATTCTGGTGTCACTATCGTTCTGTGCTTTGGGTTATCAGCAACAAGTCCAAGACTATTCATTTACACACACAATGTAATGTCAAATTTATAATTTAAATCAACAGTACATTTTTTGTTACATCTTTTATCATATGTCTTGGAGTATCGCAATAATATCGTATCATGAGTTCAGTATCGTGATATGTATCGAATCGTGACATGAGGGTGTCGTTACACCCCTAATTATTACATGTGAAAATAAAAAGCTATTGAATATAATAGTTTGAGCTCTGTTGTTAATTGTAACCTCTAATATTAGTAATGTACCACATGAGAGGGTTTCTGGATAGTTTTTTTCCTTAAGAAAATCAAACTATCGGTATCAGCGGATATCTGAATAGTGCTGGAGATATTTAGTATCGGTGCGTCTCTAATTAAAACCATAATGTTTTGTTTGAAACATTTTAATTAGAGAAAGAAGAAGTGGAAACACCTGGAATATTTCCCATTAAAAATAAATGTCAATAGCAAAAAGGTCAGCATTAACTCAAACCACACTTATGTTCACTTAATTTAGGCTAAAACGTACTAATATATGATATCATCTGTTGAAATTTTGTTTAATAGTTGATCCAGTATATCAAGAGATGTATGATGAGGACATGACGAATCAACAATCATCTGCGGTTCTCTTTCACTTTGCTTGTGAATTGGTTTTGTGGAGTTGTATGTAACGATCAGTAATTTACTTTCAGACCGGAGTCCAGAGATCACAGAGCATCATGGGTAAACGCAGAGCTCCTGAGCTGTACAGAGCGCCCTTCCCTCTCTATACTGTTAACATCGACCCGAAGACCGGACTGATCCTCACAGCTGGAGGAGGAGGCGCGTCCAAGACCGGGATCAAGAATGGAGTGGTACTGTCTTTAACAAACCATAAACACGATCAAAACGTTTCTGAAGAACCTGTTGCACACAATCTACAGCATTCAATCGTCTGATTGATAGTTTAGACTTTATTTAACAAGTAAAGGGCTAATTATAATTATGTAATTATATAATTCTGGACTAAAGCAACTTAGGTTTACTTGATTATCCTTACATATTTTTACTTGCATATTTTTGTATTTTTTTTTTATAAAATCATGTTCAAATGTGAGTATCAAATATGATCATCAGGCTTTTGAGGAAGGTTTATTAGTTCATTTCTCAATCATGCATTGCATTGCATTATATGTTTGAAACTACAGAGCTTTGATCATAAAGCGTTTAAATATAATCTTACTAAGACATTATTGATAGAGTGACAACTGATATTTATGTAAGTATTCGCTGTACACTGTTATGAAGATCTCATTGATTTACATTACAAGCTTTTTGGTCATATAAATATCAGCATCTGAACCAAATTACATGTGTATATCTTATTCTTTTATATTATATTTAGGGCTGTCAAATGATTAATCGTGATTAATCACATCCAAAATAAAAGTTTTTTTTACATAATATATGTGGGTGCACTGTGTATAATTATTTTGTATATATATAAATACACACACATGCATGTATATTTAAGAAAAAAATATTATTTATATATAAAATATTTATATTTATATATAATATAAATTATATATAAATCTATATACAGTATATACATGAAAATATTTCTTAAATATATACAAGCATGTGTGTGTATTTATATATATATAAAATAATTATACACAGTGCACCCACATATATTATGTAAAAAAAACTTTTATTTTGGATGTGATTAATCACGATTAATCATTTGACAGCCCTAATTATATTATATCAGCTATAAAAGCCTGGTATAATATCAAATATGATACTCAACAAAACACATGAAAACTTTATTTATTTAAGGATATATAAGGTATTATTATAAGGGTACAAAGTAGAATTAGGTGCTTTTACAATTACCTTGTTTTATTGATTTCTTTTTAGGGAAAAAATTGTCTTTGGCTTCAAATATTCATAATGATTCTTTATTGAGAAGCTCCACTGTTTGGTTCGTTGGTGTTTAGTGTTGCCATTTCATCGCAGCACTTCCTGAGTCTGGAGCTGGTCGGTGGTGTGCACAGCGCCACCTTGCTGCACACTCACGAAACAGACACGCGAGCCACCATGAACATGTGTCTGGGTGGGGATGTGATCGCGGCGGGACAGGATGGCAGCTGTAGCCTGATGAAGTTCAGTCATCATCTGGCCAAACAGGCTAAACCTGCTGCTAAAGATGGTCAGTAGAGGCCAAATCTACACATTCATGAGTTAATATGGACCCTTTTCACATTCAGGGATTCTCGGAAGTCATCATAGTCCAAACTACAACAAATATACTTGTTTCATTCCCATTTGACCCAATATCACAAGAAATCCACAGTGGCATTTCTATGACCTTTCTAAAAGAGGGGAAAAATTATGGTGAGTTTGATTACGGTAGTCAGAAGAGAGAAAGAGACAAATTTGCCATCAGCCGTTGCATTAGAAACACACACACAGCAGCGTTAAGATCAGCATGAAACGATTGTGATCGATTTTTCTTCCCTATTGTGGCGTGTATCCGAGTGAAACAGCGTCCGTATTTTAATTTCAAGGCAATAAAACACAAAGTATATTGTTGTAAATGTCCTTTTTTTAATGAACATGTACAGTACGTGTCAAAAGTTTGGATACATTTGTTTTTTAACGTTTTTAAAAGTCTCTCTTCTGTTCACCAAGGATGCAATTAATTTAATTAAAACACAGGAAACCATATTGTGAAATATTATTACAATTTAAAATAATAGTTTTCTAATTTAATACATTCAAAATGTCATTTATTCCAGTGATCCAGTCTTAAATGTCACACGATCCTTCAGAAATCATTCTAATATGAAGATTTGCTGCTCAACAAATTATTATTATTATTGACAGTTAACATTAAAATGTTGGTGGAAATGGTGATACTTTTTTCAGGATTTTTTGATGAATAGAAAGTTCAATGAACAGCATTTATTACATTTATTTATTAAATGTTTAAATATAAATCTTTTGTAACATTATAAATGTCTTCTCTGTCACTTTTGACCTATATTTGATCCATACTTGATGAATAAAAGTATTAATTTAATTTTTTTTTTTTTTTAAATCTTACCACAAATGTTTGAATAGTATCATTGTTTCCACAAAAAAAAAAAAAAATGAAGCAGCACAACTGTTTTCAACATTGATAATAATCAGAAATGTTTCTTGAGCAGCAAATCATCATATTAGAGTGATTTCTGAAGGATCATGTGACACTGAAGACTGGAGTAATGATGCTGAAAATACTTTGATCACAGGAATAAATTACAGTTTACAATATATTCACACAAAAACAGTTTTTTAAATTTGTAATAATATTTCACAATTTTACAGTATTTTGAATAAAAAAATGCAGCCTTGGTGAGCAGAATAAACTTCTTTCAAAAACATAACAAATTTTTTTTCCCAAACTTTTGACAGGTACTTTAAAAAAAAATCTTTACAATGTTAATAACTTCGTCTCGTCTGTAACAAAGTCTGTGAAAATGGTTCATAGTCATGTATACCCATTTTCATGTTTCTAATATATATATAAAAAAATAGGTTTTACCATTGCGCTTGTTAACAGGAGCGGGAGATAAAGGTTCAGCGAGGAAGAGAGGCGGGAAAGGCCAGAGCGCAGATGGAGGAGGAGGAGACGTACCCCAGATGAAGCAGGACTCTCCTCAGGTCTCAGTGGAGGATGTTGGTGTCGTCCAGGGAGACCTCAGCCCACAGGACCCCTGCGTGAAGTGTGTGCGCTTCAGTGCTGACCTCACTCTTCTGCTGAGCGGAGGGGCCGACGGCTGCGTCAGGGTGTGGGAGGTGAGCTTTCCCATCAGGCTGTGCACTTTCTTCCCAAGCACTGTCCTTGTCTCAACACGTTTCCTCTCTTTGCAGTTCCCCTCTTTGAAGGAGAAGTTTAACTTCAAAGCCCACAATGATGAACTGGAGGATATAGACATCAGTCATGATAAAAAGGTAGCTTTTGTGTTCAGTGAAGATTTTCATTAAATCAGTTAAGAGCTGCTTCTCTATTGTGAATATTGTGCTGATGTTGGCGGTTGTCTTCAAATGTGGTTTGTCCAATTATTATGTTCTCTTTCCTAATGTAGCACATTGTAACGGTTGGCCGTGATTTCGCGTGCAGCGTGTGGAGCGGCGATCAGCTGGCCGTGGGTTTGTGTTGGCATGAAAGCATGCCTCAGATCACAGAGAAGACGTACCGCTACAAGGCATGCAGGCGAGTTGAGCACACTTCCTGACAGATGCCACTTTACACGAACAGGCTAAAAAATAGGGCTTGAGTCATTCTGGGCTAACTGGAGTGCTTGGCAAAAACCGGCATCATATGATCTAGGGCTGATTCCTTGATTCAATTTGAGGACTCTATTTAGAAAATCCTTGATTGCAATTTCACCGTGTCGAGTAACTGGAAAAATACTCATAAATAGATCGTTTTCTAAGCATGCACGACATATTAAACCAATATAAAATCCATACTGTAGCATAGTGCTATTATTAATTCAGACAATTTAATATATATATTAGGGCTGGGTATTGACACAAATTTCACAATTCGATTTCGATTCGATTCAATATGGATTATTTTGGATATCGGGTACAATACATGGCAAATTTTCTCAAGGAAAACAAATCTCTTAACTAATGCTGTAAACTACCGTAATTCCTCAAATAAAGGCCGGGGCCTTTATTTACCTGAACTGCAGATGGTAGCCGGCTTTTATTTGAAGCAGGCTTTTATTAGAGGCAGGCCTTTATTTCTAATTCGCGATCCCCGCTCGCTAGAGGTCTGCACGGGCTTTAAACTGAAGCCCGAACCCGGCCCGTACCCGCGATCATTTAACCCGACCCGACCCGACCCGACAATTACATTTACATATTAAGCCCGAACCCGACCCGAACCCGAGGTCCATTCTGTTTCTCACAGCAATACCATTTTTGCAATATGCTATGTTGTAATGATTGCTTGACTGACATATTAAACAAATACATGTAGGCGCAGCGGCCCTATCAGCAGGCAGCACAGCAGTAAGAGAAAAAACTTACCAAGTAATTTTTTGCTTTATCAGACTCATGGTTTGCTTGTTGTCGTCGGCTGTCTGTATTGTGACTGAAATAGCGCGCGAGAGCGGTAGCACATGCGCAAAACAGTTTTGTGATATAAATGATATGATAAAATAAAACAAATAATTAAAAATATTATATTCATATATCATTATATTTGAGAGAGAGAGCCTGTATGCACATATTGCACATCTGCGGACGTAGCCTATACTTTCTCTCTCGCGCGTGCCGGTCACCACAACACAGCAAGCAGGCAAAGCACACGGCACGCAAACTATATAGCCTATTTCGTTTTTCTTAGTTAAACCCGAACCCGACCCGAACCCGAGGCTGTTCATTAACATTAACCCGAACCCGACCCGAAACCCGCACATTTTTCGGGACCCGTCGGGCTCGGGTCGGGTAGCAGACCTCTACCGCTCGCCCGCCAGCCAAGTTTCCATGGTGACGCGTCATGCTTGGCACGTGTTCACCACAGCCAAAATAGCGCTATATGACAGATGTAGCGCTTTTATATCTAAATATTAACAAACTTGCTTACCATGTCATCAACTATCTTCTATTCTGACTCTCAAATCCGTGTAAGTGAGTTTGTTTTGTCGTTTAAAACCCTTTATAAATGATCTTGATCTGTAACGTGAGATGGGCACCGCAGTTCAGAGATTCCTGTCTGTTGGATTTGTTACGTTACAGCGCGTGAATTCTTCAGTTTCTCCCGAAATACATGAAAGTAAGTGGCCGGTGAACTGGGAGAAGAATAGAGTAAACTTTATAGTTACTTACACACTGTGTATCTGATATGAATAAAACACGTCGCCAAATATATATGAATGGATTGTTATTGCTGCTTCCATAGACACCATTGTGTATTTTACAAACTATAAATTTATTGTTTTGCTATAAATCATATCTATTTAAATGTCTGAAACCTAAAATAAACATGTGGTTAAAAACACTGAATAGTTGTGATATGACAACCGCTGAGCGCGTCCGTCTTTGAGTGTACACTATTTTTTCCCCGGCCTTAATTTGAGACCGGCCTTTATTTGTCCGCGTTGACCACGCCCCCGGCCACTATCAGAGGCCCAGCGTTTATTTGAATACCGGTCTTTATTTGAGGAATTACGGTACTATAATATTGAAGGTAAAAATGAACTGATTTGTAGCTATACAAACACTTAAATTACACTTTTATTTATTTTTATAATAATAAAGTTATATGAAATATAAACATTTAAATGGTGGCTGTCATAAAAACTTGCCAGATTTATTCAAACATGCTTTAAATATCGAAGAACATTAAAAATGATAATGAATATGTAATATGGTGCATATATTTAGCAAAATGCTCCTCTTTAGAGTTAATTTTTCTAGCTGACTAACGAGTTTATGGTCACATGGTTTTTCTGAGGTAAATGTGACGTTACATTGTTTACAAGTTGTTTTACTGACGTCTTTCCACGGTTGAAACACTGATTGAGCGATTCCATGTGACATGATACGGATTTCGGTAAGTTGTACTCTATCTTTTAACACACTTTCAGACGTTCATTCATGTTTATTTCACGCTGTAACTGGCATTATTAAGGCAGAAGAGGAGATCATGTGCTTCTCTTGAGCTGAGCTGAGCCAGAGCGATCTCACGCCACAGCGCCAAAACGCTATTTATGTTTTTGAATTTCGTAATAAAATGGACGTAATTTGAGACTTTATTTAGTATCAATAGTAACAAAGCACAAAGATTATTGCGATTTATTGGATGGGATGAGCGTTACAATGTTCCATTCATTCATCAAATGAAAACAGGATGACTAATGGATTCTTGAGATTTAAGAATCGATATCGGTTCGTAAAAATGAGAATCGATTAATATCGAGAAATCGATATTTTTTACCCAGCCCTAATATATATACACTACCGTTCAAAAGTTTGGGGATTTTAAATACTTTTAAAAGAATTCTCTTCTGCTAACCATGGCTGCGCTTATTTGATGATGAAAATACAACAAAAATCAGTTATAGTATTAAATATTATTCCAGTGTAAATCAGCTGTTTTCTGTGTGAATATATAGTAAAGTGTAATTTATTCCTGTGATCAAAGCTGAATTTTCAGCATCACCAGTGTCAGTGTCTTCAGTGTCAAATGATCCTTCACAAATCAGTATAATATGAGGATTTGATGCTCAAGAAACATTTATTATTATTATCAATGTTGAAACAGTTGTTGGTCTGTCAGTTGTACAGTTTTTTTTTTTTTTTTTAGGATTCTTTGATGAATAGGAAGTTCAAAAGAACAGCATTTGTTTGAAATAGAATCTTTTGTAACATTATAAATGTCTTTACTGTCACTTTCGATCAAATTAAGTATTGATTTCTTTCCTCCAAAAAATAAAAATAAAATTCTCACTGACCCCAAACTTTTGAACGGTAGTGTATATATATGCGCTTTAATTATTTGCGTGCCCACATATTCCTGTTCAAAAAATTACAATGGCTGAAGCATTTCTATCGTAAAGTGGCCAAATATTAAACATTTGAATTAAATGTCGTCTTGCCAATATTAAACAAGGATTTGATCTCGTATGTTAAACAACAACAACAATCCCCAGCCGTCGTGCCCTTTGCAGGCAATTATTATAATACATAATGTACATGATTGTGTATTATATGAATTTTAACAGTGTTGATCTATAAAACCATATGATTACTTGCTTTTGATACTTTATTTGAATAAAATACCATTGCCTCATTGTTATTATAAATGTATTTTAAGTCATTTTAAAGGCTTAGGTCTATTTTCATATGGTTCATTTTCACCGATTAATCTTCAAAATAATCGACCGATTTACTCGATTACAAAAATAATCATTAGTGGCAGTCCTAGATCATATACTCCTGGATATTGGCTCATTTTGAGTCGGTTCAACCAGTTCACTAAATCACAAGTCACTAGTGCTGTAGAAAAAAGTAATGTGATACCAAAGTGTGTACCCTATTCGTGGAAAGGGCCGGCTAGTAACAAACAAGAGGCTGTCAGATGTGCTGATGTTTTGTCATTGTGTTTTTGCTCACTTGCTTAAAAACAGGTTTGCAAAAGTAGAGGACCAGAAAGACGCTTTAAGACTCTATACGATCCAAATCCCTCACAAACGGGAGCGCAAACCCCCACAATGCTACATCACCAAATGGGACGGTCGCGCCTTCCTGCCGCTGCTCACGAAGCCTTGTGGAAATGAAGTTATATCTTGTCTTGCAGTGAGGTAGAGGGAATATCTCTGTATATCTTATGCAGTAATCAGTGTTATGGTGAATTGTCATGTGTTTCATGGTTGTGTGTTATTCCTCCTCAGTGACTCGGGAACATTTCTTGGTCTTGGAACGGTGACGGGTTCTGTGGGCATCTATATAGCGTTTTCCCTGCAGGTACAAACAGCAGAATCATGCGCCGTTTCACCAATCACTTACACACATTGGGTCTCATTCATGAAACACGAGCAGAACGAATTTTTGTGTAAATCGTGTGTAAAGTGGTTCTGGCGTAAATTTTCGGATTCATTAAAATGTTCGTATTTTCCAAATGTTAGTTGGTACACAAGAAATCTCCACCTGCTCCCAGCCACGTGTAAATAGTGCGCTTAACACCCGAACGTTTTGCTCATTAATAAGGCTGCATTTTAGTTCACCTTAATCGGGTACATATTTGCACAGCATTTTGAAAAAATATTATATATAGTAATTACATACGGTTTTTCTTATTATGAGAGCCAGTAATAGCATCTGCGATGGTGGTCCTTCTCCAGTTTGAATACTATTTTTCCGAAGTGAACTAATTCGTTTTTTTGCTCTCAAGCTTAATGTCGAACCATTTTCTTCTCACTTCTGGGAATGTTCGATTAACAGATGAAACTCCATTAACTGCATCTGTAATATGCTGCCAAGCTTCCTTTTTTTTTAGGACCCGATACGCCACTATGTAGGCTTGAAAATAAAATTTGGCGTTTTGAATGAACTTCTGATAATAAAACTTTTTTTTTTTATAGAAATAGATTTTTTTTTTTTTTTTAAAGAAATAGAAAATTTAAATTCGCATTCATGTCATAATATGATGCCCATATATAGTTGTCAGTCGGATTTAATGGGTGGGATTTATGGTAATTGAGAATGAGCGTGCAGGCGCATCCCATTTACGACTGATTGGAATTCATTAACACACACATTTCACTATCACATCCGACGTTTACGAAGTATTTGTGAATCAGGAGAAGAGTTTTCGGGAAGGTCTCTTTACGCGCAAATCACTCGCATATTTACTCGTATATTTACGAATGTTTCATGAATGAGACCCATTCACTGTGTTCCTAAACCTATTCAGCTGCTTTCATAGGAATTCAATATAGGCATACTTGTGCTGTTCTTTAAATAAAGTTTTATTAAAACTTGATGACTGTAGAAATCATTCTAATATGATGATTTGATGCTCAAGAAACATTACTGATTATTATCAGTTGAAAACAGTTGTGCTGCTTCATATTTTTGTGTGATGCATATTGCATATTTATCAGGAATATTGTAGTTAACTAAAACTAAAACCTTAAAAAAAATTAAATAAACATTAACTAAAATAAAAATAATATATATATATATATATTTATTTCAGCTAGGTGACGAGGCAACATTTCTCATTTTTATTTAATTTAACTTGATGTATTAAAATAACCACATCTAAAACTGAAAATAAAAGTGATGATGACTATATAGACATATTTAACAAAAAACTACATTAAAGTAAAAACACATTAAAATGACTAAAACAAATATGAAAACAGAAAATATAAAAATAAAAACTAGGTCAAAATATTTAAAAAAATATATAATAGTATCTGAATGATACTAAAATAACTGATCAGGATTCTTTGATGAATAGAAATGTTAAAAATCAGCATTTATGTATTATTTATTTGAAATATAAATATTTAACAACATTATAAAAGTCATTTTTGGTCAATTTAATGTGTCCTTGCTGTATAAAAGTATTATATATCTTTAAAAAAAACTCAAACTTTTGAACAGTAGTGTAGATAAGAACATCTATTTCTTAAATGGACTGTTGTACTCAATATTAGTGTATAATTATAACCCGAGTATCTTAGCACTTTTAGCATGATGCACTTCAGCTCGTATGAGATGACCCCTCTGTTAGGATGCTCGTTTAGTAGTTCTCTGCCTATTTACACAGTAGACAACAAGGCAGCTCACTAGGCCTCGACCCAGAGCCAGTATATCCGCACTGACCCTCTCTTCTGATTCTCCCTCCAGAAATTGTACTTCATCCAGGAATCTCATGGCATCGTTGTCACAGACCTGGCGTTCTTACCTGACGCTCCTAAAAGTAAAGCCATAAAGGGTGATAATGAAGTGGTGATGTTGAGCGTAGCTGTCGACAGCCGCTGTCAGATACATGCGCTGTCCAACCGGAGTAAGTATGGCATGATCGCACTTAAAGTTGCACAGAAGTACTGCATGAATCAGATGGCACGAGAGATCTTGCTATTATCGTCCAGCTCTTTAGATAAAGTTGCTTATATAAGGATGTCCAGCTTTATATGCATAAATACAGTATACCTGTGTACGGTGATGTATATAGTATATAGTAAATCTCACCTGCTCAATTGATTGTATTGTCACAAAATCGCCCCGCTCTGATCTGCTAAATGCAACTAAAAGGCTGAAGAGTGTGTGTGTGTATTGTGTAGAGCACTATACAATCTAACTTGACTTGATTATATTCGTAATTTTTACACCGCTCTCAATTTTAATTGGTCAATCGAGCCATTGGTATTTTGTATGGCATTTAATTGTTTTTAATATACTCATTTTGCAGTCTTTTTTCCATATCGACCTAAGTTAGAACAACTTCTTGTTTTTGTACACTGTTAAATCAGGCCGTGTTGGTGTGTGAATAACGCTGTTGTGTTTCTCAGGATCGTTCCCGCTGTGGCTGGTGCTGTTCCTCTGTGGTCTGATGGTGGTCGGACTCATTCTGCTCCTGCAGGCTCTCTTCCCAGGATTCATTTAGTGTTGCATAGGAACATTTCACATGCTAAAATGACTCTCAAACAAACCTGGATCTATGAAATTGTTCTAATCAATTGGAAATAATAATGACTGTGTTTAGCATCATGTTTAAACTGAAGCATCGTCTCTGGAGTGTGAATTTGACCTTCTTATGAATCAGACTTGATGAAGAATTTGGGCATTACCTGAAGATTGAGGGGGGGAAAAAAAGGATCATTCAGGATAATTGAGAAACTGGTTGGAAACAGGACTGGGACGTCTCCTGTTCCACCATGTGTCAAGAATGCCTTTTAATGTAATAGAGAGAAAGAAAAGATATATGTATGCAGGGGAAATTCATCAGTGAATTTTTTTTAAATATTTAAAACAATGTAAAAATATAAATATACATCTGAAAACATATGCTGTTGCCAGCTCTGTCCAATTATTTGTTGTAATGACCCTACAATTTCCATTAAACCATCAAAATATGAGGAAAATAATATATAATTTATTTAAAATATGAGGGAAGAACAAAGCACTAAACCTGGTTAAGGTATTTATCTGACAAAACTATTTTGCAAAAAAAAAAACAAGGGCAAACTACAGCTGCAGGTTTTATTTTACTATGAAAAAAATGCATAGAAACAAGAAGCTCACAGGAAAAAGCATACATGGACCACATCATATTCAGTTATTAATATTTCGTTGGTTCTCTCTTATTTTGCACTTGTTCATAATCTCTTGGTATGACAGCCTGGCCAAAAATGATGTCAGCAGAATTTAATTTAATTAAGACTCCAAGCACAACTATGCAATATGCTTATAAAACACATTTTTAATAATACTTGAATAAGAGGTGAAGATTTTCCAAGGCCAGATATCAATGTTGTCCTGTATGACAAACAGTATGAGCTCATTTAGATGTGAAGGGACTGGTGTTATTCTTCACTCCACTAGGGGACGCCATGGCATCTTATTTAGAGCAGTTCTCCAATGCTTTTGCTTCAGGACTTTAAGCAGTGAGCCTACAACAGAAATGAATATTGGACTAAAATAAAGTAAAGTGTCCCTAAAATCACACATTGATATGTAATTAATACAATAAAATGCTTTGATAGTCAACAAAAATATATTTTGGAAGTCGATAAGCCTATTTGTTTATTTGATCCTATATGCACAATTTGAGTTGCAGTGCATTAGTTGTATTTAAGGATATTTTTTCCCTGTTGTCTGCAGTGCCGTCAGTGTTCAGTAAGTTTGACCCTTGTGAAACAGAAGTGTGCTCTATTGTATTAAATGTCCACTTGTATGTACACATTTTAAAAGTATATTTTTACCAAACTGAACTTGCAGATAATAGTAGCCTAGTGTCCTTAAAGAGAGTTACACTTACACTTAAAGAGAGTACACTTCCATAACACTCAAGTACACTTAATAATATATTAGTATAATAATAGTTTTTGGTAATAATGGTATTGTTATATTATTAAAATAACAAGTTGTGTTTATATAGTTGAGGTGTGAGGAAGCTTTCTGACCCCACCCCCGACTCGCTTCTGCCGTTTGCAACTTCAAACTATCCTCCTCCGTGTGTGTTGGGCCGATAAACACTGTTACCGTCTCCAGTTGATTTAAACTTCCTAATTATTACAGTGGAAATGAGTATTCAAACAATGAAACTATTATCTTATTGCTATTTCATGGTTTGTGCAGCTCAACAACCGTTTGCTGATCATCACTGTGTTCTCAGGAAGTCATCATCAACAGGAAGTCATGGCTTGTCACTTGAATGGGTAAATTAAGTATATAAATGGGAATATATTTCAGTTCGATTTTCACTCATTGGAAATGTAGAAACACATGACGCTTCGCTTTGCATGACAGGGAACATTTGGACCTGAAACAAAAAGAAAAACTCAACAAATGAAGGTAAAAGAGACAGGAGAAACAAAACGAGGGACAAATTGATTGCAATCACAAGAACTGAGTCAGCACATAAACATTTCAATAACAGGGACAGGGAGTAAACGGGTGCGTCTTTAATTGAGTTTTAAACTTGGGAAGAGATGGGATTTCACAGAGATGTTGGGAGAGGGAATTCCAGCCTCTAAAGGTCGTCGCCCTGCTGAACGCACCACCCAAGAGGAACTTGGCAAACATTGAGAAATGCATCGGAGGACTAAAGATGAAGCACATCAGAGAAACTGCGGCATTAGACCATAAAGGGCACGAATTTTGCATTTGCGAGAATCAACCTGGTGCCAGTCTGAGTAGCCTATGGGATTGATGTGTTTATTTTGTGTGCGTTAGCGGAACATGAGCGAAATCTTTTTCTCCCGAACGTGAAACTCCTGAACATATGGAAGCAAATTTCTGCCACATTAGAAAACAAAAACTCATAATCATGAGATAAGTTGAAATGATGACATACAAAGTTATATTTATGAGATGTAAAGTTGAAATTGACAACAACAAAAAAAATCTAAATTATGACATGTCATTTTTTTTATGGCAAAATGTAGAAATTATGACATACTAAGTCATATTTATGACATGAAAAGTCATAATTGAAAACAGTTAAAATTATGACTTGCTGATTCATATTTATGAGATGAAAAGTCGAAATTTCGACAGTCATTATGACATAAAAAGTCATAATTTTTTTTTTATTATTATGAAAAAAGTTGAAATTATGGGATGAAGTCGAAATTATAAGATACTAAGTCAAATATTAGATGAAAAGTTGAAATTGTGACAAAAAGTTGAAATTATGACATACTAAGTCATACTTTTTTTAATTCTTTATTATGAAAAAAGTTGCAATTATGACATATTAGAAATGCTGGTTCCACTTTATTTCGACGGCCCACTTTAGACATTCTACTGACTATAAGTAACTTTGCAACTACATGTCAACTAACTCTCAGAGTATTAGTAGACTGTTAGGTTAGGCTTCCGGTTATAGAATAAGTTACTTCTAGTCAGTAGAATGTGTGTTGAGGAGCATTATAATAAAGATATTAAGCAGTCGGTCTACTAATACTCTAGTAATGAGAGTTAGTTGACATGTAGTTGCAAAGTTACTTATAGTTAGTAGAATGTCTAAAGTGAACTATGTCATTGTGACGAGTCATAATTATGACATGAAAAGTTGACAAAAAGTTGAAATTATGAGATAATGTTGAAATTGTGACAGTCATAATTATGACTTTTTTAAGTCAATTTTGACTTTTCATATTGTGTGTAATAATTTATACTTTTTATTTCATATTTATGATTTACCAAAGCATGTTTTTTTTTCTAATGTGGTGTAAATGGACTTTAAGAACGCATGGATCTCTATTAAAATGCCTGTATTTTGCCTGTGAAGCTTCACCCAGCAAAGGTAAATGTGAGTGTACCCTTACAATCCAGGAAGCTGAGTTCTGGACCTATTGTAGCTTTTCTTGAAAACTTTTAATACTAAAGCAATATGAGCAATAAAAACAGTGATGCTTTCATCTAGTTACTCTTTTGTTCAAGTAATATATCAAATCCCACTGTTTCTCTCTCATCATTGTGGATTGCAGACCATTTTAAATGTTTAGTCCGGGTCGTCACCGGCCCACCGGTGGGCCCAAATCCATTACATTTTTAAAACAGTAATATCCTATACTAAACCTAAACTAATCTTGACAAACTATATATCATTTGAAAGCTTACAATCTCTAGTTTCCATATTTGGTGATTGATTTTCAAAATGAATTACAGAGGAGCCATAATTTATCAATTTGCAACTAGAATATTTTCATACTCCTAAGGCGTGTTTAGACCTTTATTTTGAAATAGTGATGAACATGAAAAATCATGAAAGAAGGGTAAAAACCAAAAAACCTCAGTTTGTTTTCATGCCAAGAGTTCAAAAGATAGCATCCATTCAATTATTTTAGAAAAAAAGGTCTGAATTTTTTTTAAATATAAAGAAAAAAATTATAGATTCGTGATGTGGCAGCAAGCTATAACGCACATACTTGTTCTTTTTGTGTTTCTTAGAGGTTGAATTCATATCAAAATCTGCCAAACTTCTCATACTACTTCTGAATAGGATGTCTACTTCATAAATTGTATGAAAATTGTGGAAATAATGGTTCATATCACTCAAAACACATATGGAAATGGAGGCGCCCTTATATGGGCAGTAATGGAGTCTGGTTGTGCCCTAGTGGAAGCGTTCGGTACTGCGCCCAAACAAAATCTCACTGAAAGCTCATTTTTTGAGATATCAACCTAAAATTTGAAACACAACTTGTTTAGATTTTTGACTTTGATTTTTTTTTTGCAGTTTTAGAGTCGCCCAGGTTTTGAAAATACATATTTTATATAAAATAAGAATAATTAAATTTTTTACATTGTACATTTTCATAAACTCAAACTTCTACAACTTTTTTTCTGTTTCACTTTCTCAATTTATTTCACTTCTACAAAAATCTGCTAAATGTCTTCTTTAAAACAAGACCAATCTTACGTCTATATTCCAAAGCATTCTTGAATTACAACCATTTAAGTTTGAAATGTGCATTTTCATGTATATTCAAAAAAAGGGGGGTGACACTTAAAGGGTTAAAGAGTCATTTTGTTGTGGGAACGGACATGATAACTGTTAGTGTTTGTCACTCTCAGTCCTTTATATATTTGTAAAGATTCCAACAGTTGTCCACATTCCCCGTTTAGTGCCAACATGGGAGAAAAGAGAAAAGGAAATTTCAATCGCCAGTTTATTAGCGGCCTTATAAAGAAAGGTGGATATGGAGCGGAAATAATACAGAATCCTTTCCAAGCTGAATACGCCACCATTTAAACTAGGACAGCATGAGATTGAAAGCCTCAAACCCTTTGGACACTGTTTACATGTTTTACAGCAGAGCCTTAAATATCTCAAGGTAAATAAGTCCTCTTATTGCCATCCAATTAAGCACTTTGTCTAAGTTTATATTTGCTGCTTAATGGTCTTTAAGTGAATGACTTACATTTGTGTTTGCTTTTTTCCTGTCACATAAAACATGACTGTGGCCCATATAACCATGAGCTGATTCACAGCAATGTTTCTCATTTTGATACACTCGCTGTGTTACAAAACCTAGCAAGGTTCCATAGGAAAATTGACATACAAAATATGTCAATATTTTTTTTCAATAACTTTTTAGTAGGCCTAAATGTTTTATTTTGATCGTTTTTTTTAAATTATTTAAATATTGTAATTTTTCATTTTTATATTTCCATTAATGATAGTCATTTTTTTATAGTTAACAATAACAAAAATGCTTGGTTCTATACCTTATTTTGC